TGTGTGTGTGTGTGTGTGTGTGTGTGTGTGTGTGTGTGTGTGTGTGTTTGTATCTGTGGTTGTGTGTGTGCGGGTGTGTAAATTGCGTGTGTAATGGGAAAAAAAGAGTGCGTATTTGATGTTAAAATACTTCATTAAGCAGCATGAAGATGATTTTCTGTTTCTTCATAATGATAGTTTTAGAAGCCATTGGGTTATCATATTCTTACATTCATGATTATTTTTTAGATGAAACGCTAAAATATGATTGCTTTTGTTGTATAAGAATCGGCCCAAAAAGTAAAACAACTTTTGGCTGAAAGAAGTTTTGCAGATGACTCTTCGGGGAATGACATTCACACGTCTACTGTATTGCAATGAAGAAAAGTATATATTGGGAAGTAGAACGTATATCTGGGCAGTGTGTTGTCGTAGTATAGTTTGGAGAACAAAGAGCTGGCGTACTGTGAGCACCTCACAATATTCATATAAAGCTCTTGTTGGAAAACGAAAAGGTTTGAACGTACTTACCTTTAAAACTGCTCTCTGAGCGCGCTCGATCCTAAGCATGTGAGTTTTAGATGAACCACCCCATGATGTTATGCAGTAAACCAGTAAAGGTTGACACAAGGTACACCATTTTTAATATATGCGGTTCAGCTACATATCTTAGATGCTTAAAAACTTATATAAGCTTACGTATTCTGCCTGTTAGGTTTGCAATACGGGGTACAAAATTTAGATGTTCATCTAAAATCACACCCAGGTACCTGACAGTGGCAGCTGTTTCTAATTTAGGACAGTCGCAAAGAAGGTTACTATTTACTTTATTATTTACTATTTACTTATTGATTTAGTTCTAATGCTTTAGGTTGATTAATACTGAATTTCAAAAACTTCGTTTTGACAACATTCAGGGACTGTAAATTATCAGTTTATAGACTTAAAGCTTTAACAATGTCGTTTGGCAATACATGACGGAATTAATGATACTAACTGCATTATTTTCTTTTAGTAAGGATTCAGCAGCGGTGGGAGATGAGTTTAACGACTTAGTAGTCAAAATTGGAATGTCAGTAAAAAAAATTTCAAATATTTTAGCAACTTCTGCGTCTGTGGTTACAATTTTGTCATTAAATCTTTTGTTGAAAATCTAAGTTACAAGGTTTGATCCTTCCAGTTTCGCTGTTTATAATATTCCAAGTCGTTTTTACTACATTCGCACTGCTTTTAATTTTATTATTTATAAACATTGCTTTGGCTGCAACACAAACACGTTTAAACATTTTCGAATACTTCCTAACAAAATCATTAAAACTGTTACTAGTGTTATAGGTCCTTTCATCGTAAAGATCATACAGTCTTCGACTACTTTTGTGAATTCCCACAGTCGCCCAATCACTAAATTTCAATGAATTATTAATGGTTATGATTTTGGACTTAAAAACATTATCACATTCACTTTTCACTATGTTTAAAACTAAATTATACAATTTATTGAGATCGTTAACGTACGGAATGTCAGTTACTTTAAGCAGTACGTTATTTCAATAAGCTTTAAGTCGACAATTATATATCGGAACACATGTGATATCCATTTTTGGCATTTTGTCAACAGTCATATTAAAAGTGGCCAATTGACCGCAGTGATCAGAAGTTAATTTATTTATAATAGATTTATTACTAGGTAAAGCGTTAGTATAAATGTTCTCTAAACAAGTGGCTGTAGTAGAAGTTATTCTAGTAGGCACCAAGAAAAGATTCACAAGATTATAACATTGGAAAAATGATATGAAGCCGACTGCTATAAATAAATAAATAAATATTGCTAGCACTGGAATCTTCTAATAATAAGTTAACATTGAAGTCACCACAAACAGCAATATATTTATTTGCCTAAAACTTCATCTAATATTTTTTCAAATAGTTTGTAAGATGAATGACTGTACACGCTTAATGTAACAAGCCGTTCAAGCTCTATGCAGGATATCTCTATAGTCCGCTCAATAGATAGGCTCACAATATCTGTACGTTCTTTAAATTTTAAATTATTTTTAATAAGAATTAAAGAGCCGCCATGAATAGCTTTTTCTCTGCTGAACGAACAAGCCACCTGGTGATTGTTGAAACTAAACATGAACTGATGTTTTGATAGAAAGTCGTGCTCAGTAATATAAAGAATATCAATATTATTACAGTTAATAAATAGTTATATTTCTAACTCTTTGCCTTTCATGCCTTGAATATTTTGGTGCACCAGGTTTAATACACAATTTATTTTATTTCTGTGTGTTTTAGGTTGGTTTTCTATTGTCATTGTGTTGCAAGAGTATCTCTCCGTTGTCTTATTAATTAATTTAAATAATTAGAAATTGAATTATTTTCAACAGATTGGTTATTGTCAGTAAACTGACCTATGTCGATGGACTGCTCAATAGAAGCAGCCGGTCTGGTAGCCAACGATTTGGCTGAATTATTAAAATAATATGATAGCAACTCTGCTATCTGTCTCCTAAAATAACTAGTAAGATAATACCTATCTTTAGTCAAATAAAAATATTTACTCATAAAATTATTAGTATCCATAAAATGAAAGTTATTATAATGAAATGTTAAGCTGTGTAATGTTCTATTTAAGTTACGCCTCATATTATTTTCACTTGTTGTGAGGCTTGATTGCTGAAGGGAAAAGCTAACAAAATAATTTCTTTTATATTAATTAAATTATTTAATTATTAAAAATATTGTATTAAATCTTTTTTGTTACATTTTCCTCTTCTGCCAGTTAAAATTATTAAAGTAGTGTCTTGGTCAAATTTAGTTGACAAAATACTGTCTAATATTTTACAGTATGTTTGCACCT